CTGAGTTTTCTTAATTCATTTTTAGGGTTATTTCTAGTTTAAATGGAAAAATAGTGACATTTTCAACCAGTTGAACTTTAATATACTATTAATATACTTTCAGTATTCTATACTAGCAGTTTGTATCGATTTGTAATTGGCATATTTGTTTTTATTACTGACTGTTTACATGTCTTCAGAAGTTGTTTGGTATTTTTACTTAGCCTAGTGTCAAGTTTGTGCTGTGCCAATTGGCATGCAGAGTTGTAAAATTTCATCAACTTTTTGTTTAAACCATATTTTCAGCAAAATAATTATATAGTTATATCATTATTGTGACATGAAATTTTGGTCATATCGCCCACCACTAATTTGACCTCGTATCAAATTGTCCACCAAAGACCATTTATGTAGAATTGTATTGCTATTATGGGGAAACATTCTATAGAGATGTAGACAGACTGAAGCAGTTTAAATTTTATAGGTGGACGGAAACCAAATATAGACCAAATATTTTGTATAGTTATGTCCTTTCGCTTGTAACATCAGCTATATCAAAACCATTTTTAGACAACACGAGAAATGTGTGAAGGAGACATTTAAAACCCAACAGGGATTTTTGAGTACCCTCCTTGTTAACATTGCCTGCATGTTGGTTCAGTCTAGAGAAAAATAAACAAAAGAGGCATTGCATAATACGGTTTACACTATTATATTATAATACACTAGTAAAGCTGCTAGCCTAAAGGCATTTGGTGGACCAGACGGATTCGAACACGACTACGAAGCCCTAAAATAGTGTCTAGCTAGTCTTCTCAACAGGCGTGGAAGCGCAGCCATTCCCAAGATTCTTTTTCCTCTCGCGTTCCCGCCTCCTCCTGCGGGTTGCCGTAGCTGCAGCAGTAGTGTGTTCCATTAGAACATTTTATTTGAGACAACATGGCTGCTGCGGCAGGCCATTATTACGGCGACGGAGGCAGAGCTACAAAAAGACAGAAAACGGACAGCGACGGAATGGCCACGGTACTTTCACTTTATTCAGTTTATTGCATTTCCACGCGTGTGGCGCTAGATTTTAATCTTTCTCGTGAAACGCGTTTTTCTTTCATTCAGTACGTGATGCTATAAGGCTAGCTTGTAGCCAACGCTAGTTCGTATGTTTAGTTAGGAGAAATAATTATTCGATTGCGGAGGATATGATAAGTACTAGCCACAAGATGAGATATAATTCGCAGCATCTAATACATCTGTGGCTCGGCTAGGAGTGCTTTACTCAATGCTCATTCATTGTTCTGTTCAGTCAGATCAGCCTATGATGTAAAGCGTTCATGCTGTATGTTACAGACTTTCACTCAATTAACTGAATGAAAAATGTGGTAAAGTGCTCGAGAAAACTCGAAAGAACGAGAATTTGTCAGTTTTCGTGCGAAACACGAATTTGAACAGAAAACTCTGAATCCGATGCTAATTAGATCCGTTTTACTAGCCTGAACCTTTATTTACTACAGTACAGTATACTAAATTTTGCATAATTTTGGCGAATATAGTGAAACAAATGAATAAGTATCTTATATATACTGAACAAAATTATAAACGTAACACTTTTGTTTTTGCCCCCATTTTTCATGAGCTGAACTCAAAGATCTAAGACTTTTTCTATGTACACAAAAGGCCTATTTCTCTAAAATATTGTTCACAAATCTGTCTAAATCTGTGTTAGTGAGCACTTCTCCTTTGCCGAGATAATCCATCCACCTCACAGGTGACAAAAGTGTTGCGTTTATAATTTTGTTCAGTGTATTTGCTTTAAACATTCAGAAGGATTCTGGCTCTACATTTATTGTTTGATTTAACCTTTCACTCTTCCTTTTGTATGTTCAGGAGGGCTATGACGACCCGCACAAGACCTTGCCCTCGCTTGTGGTACATGTAAGGGGGCTTATTGACGGCATCGCAGAGGCTGACTTGGTGGAGGCGCTACAGGAGTTTGGCACCATAAGGTAATGCAGTGGTTCCCAACCCTGGTCCTGGAGGCACCCCAACACTGCACGTTTTGCATGTCTCCTTAATCAAACACACCTGATTCAGGTCATCATCTCATTAGTAGAGACTCCAAGACCTGAAACTGGAGTGTCAGAGAAAGGAGACATGCAAAATGTGCAGTGTTGGGGTGCCTCAAGGACCAGGGTTGAGAACCACTGAGGTAATGTACACGGAGGAAAGGAATCGTCCCTATGCCATATGGCGTCCTCAATCATTGTGGTGCTCATGTAATTAAATCATTTAAAGTCATCCTTTGGCCTTCTTGGAAGTTGGAAGCTAAGCCCCCCGGTTGAGAACCACTGCTTGAAATGAAAACTAATTTAATAGTTGATTGTAAAAATATTAAATAAAAGCCCAACAGAAGTAATGTCTTCTCTGGTATTAAAGTGTAAGTTTGGCAATTATGTAAGAAGTTAACAATTTGCTATTCATTGGTGTGCATTTTGCACTATTTCTAGAGAATTGTTATTGAAAGTCTGTGTATATATGCATCTGTCTTTCAGTTATGTTGTGTTGATGCCAAAGAAGCGTCAGGCACTGGTGGAGTTTGAGGACACGAGCGGCTCCGGTAACGCAGTGACGTATGCTAACAATAATCAAATCTACATCGCTGGCCGGCCGTCTTACATCAATTACTCTACCAGTCAGAAAATCTCACGGCCCAGCAACTCTGATGATACACGGAGCGTCAACAATGTACTGCTCCTTACCATCATGAACCCCATCTATCCCATTACCACGGTAAGTTGTTTCGATAACACCCATGATGGTGTAGCTCAGTAGACTCTATTGCCTAGCTGTCTACGATTGCATTTGAGCTTGTCCTCATCCTTGTCTCCGTTGTTATTACATTGTCATTTCTTCTCTATAGGATGTTCTCTACACCATATGTAATAACTGCGGACCTGTGCAAAGGATTGTGATCTTCAGGAAAAATGGAGTTCAAGCCATGGTCGAATATCCTTGAACAAAGTCTTCTCTAATGTGGTTTAAAGATTTCTGCACAGTGTATGGGTCTTATCACAAGAACAAAGCTTAAACCCTGTCAAAGTGTAGTTTACACTGCATGCTCTTGTTTACAATCAAAATATTGTTCTCCTTGACTTTTGGTCACATTTGACTCGGTCCAGACTGCACAGAGAGCCAAAGCATCTCTCAACGGAGCTGACATCTACTCGGGCTGCTGCACCCTTAAAATTGAGTATGCCAAGGTTAGTACTCCAAAACATTATGCGTATGATTCTGTATAGTGCCCTCTGCAGGCCTGGAGTCAATATGGCTAATTAAGTCATTCTGTTACAGGTGCACTTAATAATTTTGCCTTCATTATAAAGTCTACATCACTGATGCTCAATCAGGAGGCTTCTGAGGGAGCCTCAACATGGCTTAATATTATTTACATTTGTTTTAAAAGTGAGTTTTAGACCTGTAAAATTTATGCAAGTTGATACAACCTTACAACAGTGTGTGCATAATGTAGTTATTCCAAGCTCTAAAGTTTTATTGGTTAGAAATTGTGAGTAAAACATGAAAATCCTTATTCCTCCTTCAAAATACTCATTCAAGTCATATGACACAAATGTTGATGACATTAGTGCATTGGAGTTGTGAATGATCATAATTCATCTTGAATTTCCATAATAATAAGAGTGGCTGCAAGTCACACTGTGACTAATGGCTGTGCATATTTGTTTTTAAATGGTTATGACTACATATTACCCTGATTACTAATGAAAGCTCACTTTCTATTGTATAGCCAACCCGTCTCAACGTCTTCAAAAACGATCAGGATACTTGGGACTACACCAACCCCAATCTGAGTGGCCAAGGTACCGTACAGCTCATGCACGCTGTCTGTGCTTCTTATAGTTTATGGGGATGGGTGTGTGGACAAGCCTCCTAAAGTGATGTCTTGGGAAGCTATATAGGAGATAATTTCCCAAGAATGTCACTTCAGTGATGCTGCTTCATTCTTGTGTTCCTTCTGTTTGGATTACAATACAAATATTTACACAGTTGTAGTTGCATATAGACGTTTTTACGTGGACACGCATTCTTGCACATACACACACACAAAAAAAAAAAAACATTCGTTCATTTAAACCAAAAACATGCACTTGAGATGGCCTGATTGTCATGATGGCAGAAGCACAAATCCTTCTTAGCTCATATAGACATAGACTCGTCTGTTGCGCATGTCACCTGTTTCGTGTTAGAGCACAAGTGTTTCTCATATACACAAAAATCCTTAGAAGCAGACACTCTTTCACCTGTACTCACTAAGCTTGACACTGCATCTAGCATATTACATGATGGAGATTTTATTTTTTTGCTTTGCAATAGGGACAGGGTGCAGAATATTGGAGCTGAACTGCACAGTTTAGCTCCAATCTCAGTTAAATACTGAATCAGCTAATATTTAGGAGCACTAGAAATTATTGGATGTGTGTGTTGGGCAAATTGAAGTTAGACCTCTACAGGACGTATGCCCTCCAGGAGCAGGATTTGACACCCCAGCAATAGGGCAAGTATTGAACAAGGTCATAGAGCCAGGCTTTATGTAAGAGACAGGTAGATTTATGAATGTAAAGATTCACAATGGTCCAAGCAAAATTTAATGGATCACTCAAGAACCAATTTTACCCAGATTGAATCTACTGTTCTATTGTAGATTTTGCATTCAGAATGCTTTGTCTTTTTTTTTTCCAAGACTATAATTGTTTGTCTTTAGCCAGAGTTTATGTAAATGCTCTGCATTGTAGGAACAAATTCACCTTTGAACATGTTTGTAAATCTTCAAATAATGTGAATTTTTATTTTATTTTATTTTATTTTTTTAAACTCCAGAGCTCTATTGAGGTGCAGTGGTTCATATTCAGTGTTCTCCACTTTTTCCTTATGCAAAATGTCTATGTATCAGGTCTCTCAGGGTAAAACTGCTAAGCTTTTTTACTCCTGAGTTGCTATACATTAAGCTTCTGTGCTTGAACTAGCTGCTGAGCACATTTTACATCCAACAAAACATTTCCATGTACTTAAGTTTCTCTGCAAGACACACTCGCAGCAATTCAACAGGCCACATGGAACAGTGAAACGGAACTCACAACAACTTTAAACGCTTCAAAGATGGCAAATTCACTCGTATTGAAGTCACACGGATTTAAAAAAAAAAAAAACACTCAAGATATCCTTCCACTCAGCTAACATCTCCATTCTCTACAAAGGTGGTGGACATCTGTCTGAGTTAATGACACATTTTAAGGGAATGGGTCTAATCTCTTTGGATAATACATTACAGCCAATCACTGGAGACCTTCGCACATCAACATCGACTGATCAAGCAGCAAACACATGAAGCAAAGTGGTACAGATACACAGAACAACAGAGAAGAATTACACAGATATTTTCTTCTCATGCCCTGCCTAATGTCGTCATGTTTCTTGGGTGTTTGGGCTACTTTTGCTCTCGCTTCTCTCCTCTTTCCTGAGAACATCATGCGAACATGAAAAGCTGACATAACAGTGAAAACACACCAGATCAGGATTGCTACAACACAGGCGCCATGGTCAGAGACTGCCATGACAACATGCCAAACTGACATTGCTATGACAACACACCAACAAACAAATTGTTTGAGATTTATGCAGAGATCAGCGAGTCGACATTATCATCACAACACAAGCCAAGATTGCTCCAACACAGCGGCGGTGGTCTTGTTGCGCGCAGCATGACAAGTTGAGATCGTCACTACTTGCCGAACAAAGAGCAGACATTTGTCTATACATAACTAACAGAGATGACATCGACTTCACACCGTGACACATCCGAAACCGCATGATTACAGCTCTGACATCAACATGAGATTGTCGCAAACACATCTTGCTAAACCAGCTTGCTAAAAATAGTGAAATGCACCAGACGAGACACTATGGGTGACATTAGCAGCAATACACCACCATAACACATGGGAAGGACTGCAGCTGCCCACTGATCACACAGTCAGATCCTCCGCTCTCCCTACCCAAGCCCTGTCTCTTTTTGGACTGAAGTGCTTTCTATCTCTCATTTCTCCATCCCTCCTTCTCCACCTCTTCCTCTCTGTGTTGAATCTGTTTTATTCATTGGGCACGGCTGACCGTGTTCTGATCCCTGTGTTACGCCCCCTGTGTGACGCAGGTGTGGATTAGTCTGACCGCTGGTGGGGCATCTCTTCTAAACTCGACACCGTCTGCTATCCACCTTTACTACTACGGTAAGCACCGATGTGCCTGGAACACACCAAAAACGCATGCACCGGACTGGGAGAAATATCCTAAGGAACTGAATGAAAACGAAATCATCAGGAGTAGGGCGACTGGTAAAGAACATCACACTTCCACCATGATGCCTGCTGCATTTGTTGTTTTGTTTGTTTGTTTGTTGGTCTTTAAATGGGCATATAGCACACTGCTTGTCCTGGCTGGGTCAGCTGGAACTTTGTTGGTAAGATATGTTATGCCCTTTTGGCATGAAGTGAAGACCCTTGAATAACACTAAATAAAGAATCCTGTCTTTTTTTCCTTTATGAGTGGATATATGTAGCTTTCTTTTTTTCCTTTCAGACTCTTTCAGTCTAGATGCTGTGGCATAAGTGACTGATATTTTTAATGTTGTCTTTCATCTTTAGCAGGTAACATTTCCTGTGACAGTGAAAACTCAGAATACTCCTAGTTTAACTGATCAAGCACTTTTTTTTTAAAAAGTTGACATGGAATGAAAATTTACTCTTTCTATCTTCGAAATGCATGTTATTAATCTTCAGAACAATTCATCTGTGCATATGTTGATTTATTTTTTTGTTTTTGATCATGTAAGTTTTAATCAAAACGTCATAATTCTGTCTTCCGTTAAAATGACACACTTCTCTTTGACGTATACCAGGCTTCTCCAATCATTCAGTCTACTTAAATCCCGCCCCTTCCTTATGATTGACTGCAAGTTTTTATTTAGATCTACCTTTATCCAATCAATAACTGATAGACTGAACCAATTCCTGCTCTTTGTTTTTTCTTTTAGTTAATCTGTTTTACTCGGAAGAAAAGATCTGTTGTTATTTTCGTTATATGATGACTTTTAAAATTTAACTCTAAAAAGACCCACCACCTTTTTAATCCGCAGCCTTGTTCATTTGTCTAGCTTGAGTCAACATGAAATCAAAATTGAATCCCATTTACTTTTCTAATTAACTTTTCTTGGCTTTTTTTCCAGATTTATTGGTGCACATTATTCCAAATGCACATTTTATTTCCATGTAAAATATACAGGTGCATCTCAATAAATTAGAATGTCGTGGAAAAGTTCATTTATTTCAGTAATTCAACTCAAATTGTGAAACTTGTGTATTAAATAAATTCAATGCACACAGACTGAAGTAGTTTAAGTCTTTGGTTCTTTTAATTGTGATGATTTTGGCTCACATTTAACAAAAACCCACCAATTCACTATCTCAACAAATTAGAATATGGTGACATGCCAATCAGCTAATCAACTCAAAACACCTGCAAAAGTTTCCTGAGCCTTCAAAATGGTCTCTCAGTTTGGTTCACTAGGCTACACAATCATGGGGAAGACTGCTGATCTGACAGTTGTCCAGAAGACAATCATTGACACCCTTCACAAGGAGGGTAAGCCACAAACATTCATTGCCAAAGAAGCTGGCTGGTCACAGAGTGCTGTATCCAAGCATGTTAACAGAAAGTTGAGTGGAAGGAAAAAGTG